ATGAAATGATGAGTCAGTTCACCTCAATATGGTTTTATTTTTTAAAAAGTAGCATTTAATTAAATTAACAGTCAAAAGTTTACATTAATGATATTCTTCCAAAAATGAAAAGCAGTTTATATCTGCCATGTTATTTCACTTTAACAGTCAAGTAGTATGTTGGCTTGTTTGTTATTTGCATTCAAAGTTATGATGTATTATAATGAATAATGAAACATCTGGTGGTATGAAATGTTAATGTGATATACCACATTGAATTTAGTGGAAACAGTTTTTAAATTCTCTATAAATCAACTGGAAAGATGTAAATCTTTTCAAACAGGGGTATTATTCATGTTCTTTTTTAGGAGATGCTTATGCTCTGAACTCTGTTATTCAGGAAAAAAAAACACTAGAAATCTAAAAGATTCAGAATACAACAAAGGGGAAAGCCATAAGGATATAAGAATGAAGAATGAAAGAGCAGAGATGCCACAAGCAAGTAGTTACAGGCCACCCAAATGAAGAGCAAATATTACAGGGATTCTTAGAAATCACCATTCAGGGTTAGATACAACATTTTAAATTACTCAGCTTGGCTCTATGGCTGAGAGGGAAAGATTGAAAAAATACAGCTATGGGAAGCTCTCAAAACAGTAGACAGTCCCTGAATTTGGCACAGCATTGGCAAAATCATCAAATAAAATTGGCACTTAAAGTCTACTATTTTGGCATGGATATTTTGCATACTTTGTTAGATTACAGATAGACATAAAGAGAGGATACACTCAATCTTTGCGAAAATTCAATTTGTCCTACAAAAACAACAGATTAGAGGATGTACAATAAGTCAGTGAATTTGCCATTTAGAATGGGGCCAGAGACAGGAAAATGGCAATTAGTAACAGGCTGGCAGATCAAGCAGCACAGCATAGTAGAGAGTGTAACCAAACCAAGAACCTAGGAGAAGGCTGGAAACTGCTTTGAGCAAACTGCTGTCCTACAGCCTGAAGCATCTAACAAAATTCCAGGTTGCCAAGCAACTGTTTATTTCCTGTAGACTCTTCTGAAAATGAATAATAGGCATTTAAAGGTTTGAAATTTTAATAATAACCTCTTCATATGCGCCTATTATACCTACTTTGAAAGATTAAAAGCAAGAGAGAAGCACCATATTGAACTTGTCTTATAGAAACGTTTTCCAAATTGTATTCCATTTGAACACTTGTTCCACAAAATGTTAAAGAGACTTTATTTAAAAAGGGGAGAATAAAGGAGTTCCACAACCAATTTATGCAATTCAGGGTTGATATAACAAACCTTATATAGCATTTATCATGTCACATGCTGCTATAAATTCTACTTAATATTCACAAACACTTTAAGAGAGAAGTACTACTACTATTTCCATTTTACAGATAGAGAAACTGAGTCACAAAAACTAAATAAAGTGTCTAAGTCACATAGCTAATTAACATTGAAGTTGGACTTTAAACCCAGGTATTTAGGCTCCAGATTTCTGTACTGCAGATTTTTTCAAAGCTTATAATATGCTAATATTTGTTATAATACTTCAAAAGAAGCATAGAGTACACTACATTTTAAACATATTAGATAATGGGAATTGTTTTCATGGAATTCCTATTAATGGCTCTAAAGATACTAATATTCCATGGAACACATTTTGAGAAATGTTATTCAAAAATAATTTTTTAACTGGGATGTAAGCTTAATTTCAACTAACATAGACATTATTTTTTTTTTCTGTATTGAAGTTAAGCTATACACACATTCCATAGATATCAAGAATTCTCAAAATTTACATAAAGTTAATGACTCTTTCATAGAGTAAGAATCGGTTATATTTGTTTTGGTTGATATCATTTTAAATTGAAAATGTCCCAGATTTTTAAACATAATCCCTGAGAGAAACATTAATAATCTTGCTGGTACCTCTCAATAGACCATTTCTTATTTATGAAAATCCGAGTTATATGAACTCTTTTAATAGTATGTAAGCATTCTAATAGGTTATATACCTCCCTAGGTACCATTTTGAGCATTTTATAGAGCGTTACTAGATGTATCAAGATAATTTCTAAGGAGACAAAAAAATAAAATAGCATAGATGATAGAGGCTTTGTTCATCTCTCTCGCGACCACATCAATGTTGTGACAGAAACATGGAGCAAACAGCAAGTAAAGTTGCCTGGAATCCAGATGAACGAAAACACTACAACTAGGGAGAGAAATATTAATCAACCTACAATGGTAGAATGTAAAAGGGGGCGAAGACATAAGGCTTCCAATACAAAGTGGCTGAGTGGGACAGAGGCTACGGCAGCAGCATCTGGCAGCTGCAGACGCCTCTCAAAGGGACCCTGTCCGCGATCAGACTTTCACAGTGATGGACTTGCTTACTCTGAGCACCAACACTGGGTAAGGCAGCACAGGGGGCACCAGAGATTTACAAGGGGACACTGAGTTGTCAGAGTGAGGGCCAGAGGCAAGGCTCTCCCCTGGGCAGGAATATGGGCAGTATCCATTGTTCTTCTGTTGAGCCCTCCCCTACACCCATTGTGTAGAAGCAGCACTGCCATAGCTGAGACATCATCAAACTAGGTAAAAGAGGTTGATCCATGCACAGGATTCCCTGGAACTCTGCCTCATCCAACTCACAGCCCCACCCGAGCCACATCCAACTGTGTCCTCTGAAAGACCTATGTTCCTTGCCAAGCAGTGCCAAGACTCACACTGGTGACAGCTGATCTCAATTTCTGGTGTGATTTCTTAAGGCAACTATAAGCACAGCATCTGTGAATTGCTTCCTGAATCTTACCAGGTGGCCCTAGAGGGGCAAAGGCTGGGACTAAACTTGGCCTGCAGCTGAACCCTTCTCAGGACTGTGTCACTGGACACCTACTACACAAAGTCCCACTAATAAGATGGATAGACATAGGAGCTTTGCTTAGTACATAGAAACAGAATCAGAAAGGCAATCAAAATGGGAAGACAAAGAAGCAGAAACCATATGAGAGAACAGAACAGAGATCAAGGAATAATGGAGTCAAGCCATCTCACAGATGCAGAGTTTAAAACACTTGTTATAAAGATGCTCATTGAACTTAGGGGAAGAGTAGATGAACTCAGTGAGAACTGTATCAAAGAGATTAAAAACATAAAAAAAATGGAAATAAAAATTATGAAAGAGAACCAGTCAGAAATGAAGATACATTATCTGAGATGAAAATTAGATTAGAGGAAATAAACAGAGTAGATAAAGAAGAGGATTGAACCACTGATATAGAGGATGGGGAAGCCAAGGACACCCAATCAAAACAGCAAGAATAAAGAAGTCATAAAAATATCTGGGTCCTAGGGGTACTTGAAGGAAAACAAGAAGTTGAAGAGCTATTTAAAGAAATAATGATGGAAAACTTCCCTCACCTGGTGGAGGAAATAGACATACAACCCCAGGAAGCTCAGAGAGTCCTAAGAAAGATGAACCCAAAGAGGCCCACACCAAGACACATCGTAATTAAAATGCCAAAGTTTAAATATAAAGAGAGAATCTTAAAAGCAGCAGGAGAAAAGCAGTTAGTTACCTAAGAGGGGGCACTCATAAAACTGTCAGCTGATTTCTCAAAAGAAACTATGCAGGACAGAAGGGCTTGGGACAAAATATTTAACATAATGAAAACCCAGGATCTACAACCAAGGATACTTTATCCAGCAAAGCTATCATTTAGAGTTAAAGGACAAATAAAGAGCTTCCCAGACAAAAAGAAGCTAAAGAAATTTATCATCACCAACCCAGTATTACAAGAAATGTTGGAGGAACTTCTTTAAAAAGAAAAAAATCATGTATCAAAAACATGAATAAAAAATGGTAAGAACTACATTGCTATCAACAATTACCTCAAATGGAAAAGAATGAAGTGCTCCAATCAAAAGATTGAGTGGATGAATGGAAAGAGAAACAAGACCCTTACATATACTGCTTACAAGAGACTCACTCCGGATGAAAGGACACACACATACTAAAAAGAATGGGATGGAAAAAGATATTGCCTTGATGGACCTAGAGGGTATTGCGCTCAATTAAATAAGTCAGATAAAGAAAGACAAATATTGCATGATTTCACGTACATGTGGAAGCTAAAGAACAAAATAACAACAAAAATGGAAATAAACTCATAGATACAGAGAGTATTTTGAAGGCTACTAGATGGGAGGGGGTTTGGGGGCAGTGAAAAAGGGCAAAGGGTTTAAATACAAATGGATAGTTATAAAAATAGAAATGGAGATATTAAGTTAAGCATAAGGAAAATAGTTAATAATGTTATAATAAATATGTAAGGGGGAAGAGGGATACTAGATTTAGTGGAGTAATCACTTTGTAAGTTATATAGTTCTGTAATCACTATACTGTACAATTGAAACTAATATATTATTGTATGCCAACTATAATTTTTAAAAAACTCGTTGAATTACACAATGTAAATATGAGCAACTAATTATCTACTACATTTCAATAATGCCAGGGGGAAAAAAGATGATTTCTGAGGTCTTGTAGCCCTGATTTCCCATTGATATATGATTTTTAAACAAGCAGTGAGAAATCCAGTAAATATTATTGTAAGTCTAGGATAGAGAGTGCATTAGATATAGATTATGGGTGACAAAACATCTCAAATTTCTGACATTAGGACAAGAGTAACTGCTCCAATGCCTAGTTAGCCCAGGATTACAGGAATATGAGAAAGTAGCAGCAGTTCCCTTCCACAGCCATTCCATACTCAAGTATATGATTACTTCAAAGAAACCAGCCCACCATATAGAATATCTATCTGATAGTCCAGAAAATGTTACCTCTTAGATATCTAGCAATTTCAATAAGCCAGGGATAAAGGTAGCAGTTTGCCTACCAAAATTAGTTTGAATACAAGTCTACTATTGAACTGATTTTACATTTTTTTAATTATCAAAGATATTCTGGAAACTTTAAGAAACATATTCATATGTTAACTTCAACAACACAAATGCTAAAATTAGAATAATACAGAGAAAAATACCATGGCACCTGCATTAGGATAAAATGTAAATTTGTGAATCATCCCATATTTTGGGTGATGGTTGCACAACAATTGGAATGTACTAAATGCCATTGAACTGTATACTAAAAATGATTAAAATGGCATATTATGTTCTATGTATTTTTACTCACAACAAAAGAAAATATATTTGGTTAGGTCAGAAATTCCCTATAATTGAAAACTGATAACAAGAATATAAAAGAAGGAAAAGATTATTAGCTTCTGGTATACTGCCAAATTAGTGGCTTTTTTTTTCTTCCATAGTTGCTCAAAGCATTTAAGTTTCAGTTCAAATATATTAACCATCTGAATATAGCATCTGAACTATAACTTTATAGAAACAGATAACCACAGAAAAGAGCCACTTTCTTAGAAGCTGTAAAAAATACTGATCTATTAACTGAATTTACTTTTGATTTGCAAATCAATAATAACAGTAATAGATCAATGTGAAGCCTACATATGGATTATTTGGTATTTCTCTGCAGCAGGTATCACCAATTAATAAAAATAATGGAGATAGAGTAAGTAAGCATTAAACAGTATTAATAGGAGAGAAAGATAGAAAAATCTAGCCAAGTTCAAATATATATCAAAAATCAAGTTTGTCTTAAGATAGCTTCCAAACTGGAAAGGAAATTCAATTTACTAAATGTATTTTTGAAATATGCAATTCAGAAAATCAGATGTTTCAGAAGATATACTTTAAGCCTTCTCACTGAAGATATTAATATAAAAGAGTAATTGATGATTTCTGTGAAATTTCATTTACTCCACATTGTTTGTTCTGCTCACTGTAGCTACAAGTCTTGTATTCCTTCTGCTTTTTGGAAAGCCATTTCTGCCTTTGTGGAAAATCAGCAATACATTAGGAAATTAGACAAAATAAAATAAATTTTGTTTAGAGGGTAAATTCTGAAAGAAAACTTTCTATTTATTTTCCTTTAGAAACAGAATAAACGGGAAGTTGGCCTCAAATTAAAATATATATATATTTTGGTCTAAAATTAAGCTTTAATGCTAACTTCTGTGTTATCAGATAATGGAAATTTAATTGTATTTTCTGTCAAACCACTATGCTGTATACTTGAAACTAATATAAAATATTGAATGTCAGCTGTAATTGAAAGAAAAACATAAAAATAATAAAAACAAAAAAATGTATTTTGTATTTGTCAAAAGGTATCCAACTGCCACTAAGAGAATATTGATCATCAATAATGAACCAATTTCCTGGAAGGTAATTGGCTTCCTGAAGATCACTAACACTCATGGCTTTTAAGTAGCTGGTCTTCCCTTGGATATTCCATGTAAGTGCCAGAGATTCAACTGTGTAATCCCCTACTCTTCTGGATAGTAGTTCTCAAATACTGCCATGCTTCATTGTCCCAGAGGGCTACTACAATGAGTTACTGTTGTTTTTTATTTAACATTGTGACATTTTGCATTCTTAATATTTATCTACTACATAAAGGAAGATTAAAAAATCCAACAAAACATCTAGAAATGTTGATTAGTCAAAAATTTGCATTTTAAGAAAATCTGCATATTTGTGATAATCAAGGTGTAATATATAACATCAGGAAGGACCTGAGGAAATTGCAAGGACAATGTTTGCCTGGCCCAAATTATCATGTAAAGAATACTGCATAAGGAATCAGAAGAGCTAAATAAAACTGGATTTATTTATAGCTGGTTATATACCTATCTGAGACTTCCTCCCACCAGAATCATTTTTTTCTTGTATTTAAAATGAGTTTCAAGGAAGCAACCAAGATATTCTTGAGAATGTGAATAAATAAATTAAGTATGATACATCCAGACAATGGAATATTATACAACACTAAAAAGAAATGAACTAACAAGTCATGAAAAGATGTGAAGGTAACTTAAATGAATATTACTAAGTGAAAGAAGCCAACCTTAAAAATGCTACATTCTGTATGATTCCAACTATATGACATCTTGAAAAAGGCAAAACTATGGAAACAATAAAAAGGTCAATGGTTGCCAGGGATGAGTTGGCAGGGAGCCAAATAGGCAGAGCACAGTATTTTTAGGGCAGTGCAAATACTCTGCAATATTATAATGATGAATATATGTCTTTGTACATAATGCTCAACCTCATAGAATGTACAATACCAAGTATGAACCCTAAGGCAAACTATGAACTTTGAGTGATAATGATGTGTCAACGTAGGTTTATCCTTGGTAACAAAGGTATCATTCTGTTGAGTGATATTGATAATGTAGGAGGCCATGCACATGTAAGGGAAGGGGCATATTGGAAATCTCTGTACCTTTCTTTCCATTTTATTGTAAACTTAAAACTGCTCTAAAAATATTGTCTTTAAAAAATTAGGTTCAACCCAATATTAACTTTCGATGTATCTACGTGGAATACATTACTTCCAAGATAAACACTTATTGCCTTGTCATTTATTAATTTTATGTTAATCATATCTCCCCTACCTAGAATGTGAGCTCCTTACTGGAAGAAACTATGTATTATTCTTAACTTTTGCATTCTTTGGTGCTTGACACCATAGTGGGTACATGGTAGTGCCCAGTGAATGACTACAGAAAAATCAAATGGATGCTGTGAAAGGAAACCACCAGGAGGAAGAAAAGAGTCTACCTCCCCAACACTAGTAATTGTGCATTATTCTTTAGTAGTAATTTCATTTTGCATTCTCTTTCCTATCACATTCTGCCTGAACTTCCTACCGAGATATAGCAACAAATGTGAGAAGTGGGCAAAGACAGAGACGATTCACTCAAACACTGAAAATGCCAATAGTTCTGCCTTTGATTTACTCTTTCACTGTCTGATGGTGCCATTCTTTATCATCAGCTTATGCTTACTGAAGCAGTATACATCAAGCATCTGTTTTAGAAAGCAAAGCAATTTGTTTTATTGAATGTAATTATGTGAAAATTTGCAACAGAATTTGTCTTATTCTCAATTTAAGGAGCACATGACGTTAGCCATAGGTATATTGATGTAAATGTGTGAATAAACATGGTCACATCTCAGAGGCATCCATTTGTATATTTAAGGAAATGTGAATGATAATTCTTTTAAATCCAAACTTTTAAGAGATTAGTTTTAAACCTCCAGAGAAAAAGAGATAAGGGAGAAAGTCTTAATTATGCCAATAATAATATTTAATTACATGTATATGTTGTTATATGCTTTGAGATATAAATATTAATAACTATGTCTCTATTAGCTATCAGAATGTATGATTACTTAAAGCTACCTTAAATAACCAATAACATGAACATTTGAGTTACAAAGGAGAGTAATTAGATACCATGAAAACTTGGCTTTTATTCTTGGATATTCAAAGGATGCAAGGTATCTGGCAATATTATTTTTTAAAGCTTACATTACTTTGCTCCAGAAAATGCGGTGTTTTAACTCAACACTTTTATCATTTTTTTTTATATTCACCAGTCTATTGCATTTTTAATAATCAAATATAATAAAAAGTTTTTTGGTATTGTTATTTCCTTTAAAAAACTGCACTCTTTAAATTTCTAGGACCAGATAAACTTCACTGTCAGAGTAGCATGGCCAAAAATTCTACATCAAATACAGTTTTAGTTAAATAGCCTTTCTCCTGAGAGTAATATAACTCCCAGAATGAGCAGGGTTTACAGAATTATGAGATATTGTCATCCAACACTAAAAAAAAATATCTAATGGGCATGATTTTCTCCTAAAATTGCTGTGAAAAATTTACTCTCATTTAAGACATTAAGATGACATGTTTGAACTACAGGCATCCAGTATTTTATTATGGCCCAGTAGAATAGATTAGTGCAAAGGAGTATTCTGACTCTTATCCAGCCTGCTCAAAAGTCTCATTATCTGATATATATGAGTTAGTGCATGGGTAATAGAAAATAATTCTAAATTAAATAATTAGGCCAAATCATTAATAGGGAGAGATACACACATACATGCAAACATGCACACACAATCAAAAGGATTCAACATGGAGCTGGAGTCTAATGGATGATTTATAAGATGGCACATTCTTTCTGGTTTCCTGAATTCTGTCACAGTCTTATTAACAATAAATTCATAAAAAGATACAAATCATTTTTTTCTACTTGCAACAATGGCTTGAGGTTGCTACAGGGGTACACTAACTCCAATGAATCAAATGAAAGAGAAGACAAAGAAATTTATCTTTCTTAAGCTTTTTTTCCACTCAGAATTCTAAACAATTTGATAATAATAAGTCTGACCTCAAAACTGCTATTGCTAGAGATAAACAAATATACACAACTTGGAGACAGATCAAGATAGAATGGCCCAGCACAATGTTAAGAATGCTACACCATCTTAATGATGAGACAAGGGACTCCATCTTTTGTGGCTTTGTGAATTCCCATGGCTATTGTTTCTGTGAATAAGATAGTGTGTCCAGAGCCAATAAAATGAGAGCAGAAACATAATCACCAAACTGTGTTGTGGTTATTTCCTTTCATTTCAATTGATTTATTCCTTTTCCTTTGTAACCTTTCTAGGTCTTTGATATTGTTGGTAGGCTGTTTCCATAAAGACTATAGTAATTTGTACAACCAAAATCTAGGTCTTTGATATTGTTGGTAGGCTGTTTACATAAAGACTATAGTAATTTGTACAACCAAATTTACATAAATTATGGGCTTTTCCAAGCTAAAGATATAATTTCAAGATGATCCATACCACCATCCCTCCTCTTGGTGATCCTAGTAATGAAACCTCTTCAACTCTATCAAATTCAACTTCCTCTTAACTAGTTATTATTTTTTTAAAGAATGTGGGATCTTAGTTTAGTTATGTGTTTGTTTTTTTTTTAACATTTGCCATTTATCTCAGGTAATATTGACATATTTTTAAAACAAATATTTGTTCTGGCTAGTGGTAATTGAATTGGGAGCATAAGAACTTTAGAAAATTCTATATGAAATAATCAGATTGTATAGATAAAGCACATTTTATCTTTTAACTTGAATTCTTGCTACCAGTAATTTC